TTCTTAACAGCACTCAAGCTGTTCGGTATTCATAAAGGTTTTAAAACCCCGAGCCATTAACTGTGTAATTAAAATTTTCAGAACAATTAGTTCAGACTAACGTTCGAGGGTAACCACGGCATTTTAAGTTTACGCTTTCATTCCTACTTCAGCGATATAATTTATAATCGGTCGGAAGCAACCTTAATAGATAACGAATATGCAGCACCTGCTTGGGACTCAACACAATAGCAGGGCAATGGTAGAAATGTTTCGAAAAGGGAGCATGCTTAGGCATTCTCCTCATAAATAAAAATAAATAAAGGTCAGATCGTCAGTTAAAGCGATTTAAGCATGTGGTGACTGATCAGTTCTTATCAGCAACATCCCTGAGGGAGCGAATATGTAATTTTGCGCTGATCCCCAGCCAGTGTTGAACAGAGCTTGCACGCAAGCGAAAGCTCTTCAGCACAAAATCGCTTATTCCAAATCCGAGCCATTTACCAGTATGGAATAAAAAACAANCTTAGATAAAGATGTGAAGTGATTTACACAACATTTACATTTTTCCGATTTTCATTTTCTACTTTAAAACAAACATTTTACACCAGACAATTTACTATTTTCGGTGCGGGCGGGTGTAATTAGAGACAACGGCAAGTATTTATGCACGTCAACGATGTTTGATGCTAATCACCTCTATGCGCAACTTCATTTCTTTTGCATTTTCTTCGCCGGCGTTGCACTTTTCACGTGGTGGGATATTTCGCTTTTGTCCGACTTCTCGGGCGTGGGCAGTCCAGATGGATCGGGTAGAAGAAATGACACTTCATATATACTCGGTTGACTGGAGTAAACCTCGTTATTCATATTCACAAACCAGTTCATCATATCGAACAAGTCGCGAAAGCTGCATTGCGCTACCACCGCACCTGCGTCGCGTCCATGCTGATGCGAATCGAAGAAGGTGATAATATTGGCCGGAAATTCGATAACAAACAGCACAGTTCGATTGTCGGAAATCATAGCGGCGAAAAGAAAATGCTCATTGACTTTGCCCGCCCGCCTAAATAGCTGCACACCATTATTTAGAGCCTGCATTAGCCGCAAAGCAAT